GGGGGGGTGGTTTCCGTCTGTCTGCGGGAAGCTTTGTGGCCCTGAAGGGGAGTGAGCAGGAAGGGACACGTCTGGGAGGGTTTGATGCGCAGAGGCTGAGGGGGGGGCGGCCCTTGGCACTGCCACTCGCATTTCGCAAAGGAGGCTGGGAATGAAGACACGGAAACACGTGGCCAGTCCACTCTGGGTGTGTTCTCCCCACAGTGGGACATGCTCCCTCCCCAGGGAGACAGCCTCGGTGAGGTCAGGCTGTCTGTGACGGCCGACATTGCCCTCGTCAGTGGCTCAGTCAGAAATGTATTGTTTGCTCCTGCCACTGCATGGCCCCCGCAGGTCCCACTGCTAGCCACTGTCCACAGTCCCTGCAGCAGATGACCACGGGAGGGAAGGGGAGGACGCCTCAGGCCAAGCCACATCTGTCCCTACTGCCTCGGTCACCAGACAAGGCACAGACCCACAGCCTGACTCCAGAGGAGGTTGGGAAATGGCCTCCCGTATGCCCAGGAGGAAAAGGAAAGGTTTGGGGACTCTGCCTGGTCTGTGCCTCTCACCCCGAGCCTCCCCTACCCACTTCCTGCATCCTGCCCAGGGTCAGTCCAGCGTGGCTCCTTGGGGACCAGCCCCATGAACTAGGAGTTTTGACCCCCTCCCCCCGGTACCCATTCAGTGGGGATGCAGAGGCCAGGCAGCAGCAGTAGGAACTCCCACGGGGAAAAAACAAAACGAAGGAGACACACACACAAGCCGCTGTGCTCCCAGGGACGAGATCCTGCTGGGCAGGCACCGGGAAGACATTCCCCATCCCCACCCCCGTCCTGGCAGGGGTGGGGAGAGGTGGCTGCGCCCATCCTGCCCTCTGGACCCAGCCCTCCCTGGTCACCCCACTAGTACGGGTTGGGGGTGCATCGTCCCTGGGAGCTGGGCAACTTGCAGCGGGTGCTTCCTGCCTGGTGCAGGGTTTGGGGGCCAGCCCCAAGCTTGTGAATCCTCTGGCAACAATTCCCTCAGACACTTAGCAGGCTACTAACCTATCTGTGCCTAGGATCGTAGCCAAAGTTCTTTTCCAGAACCTCACGGGTCTGCTTTATTTCCTTGCGGCTCTGCCCCGTGCCTGTCTCCACCACCGCCCCCCGCCGCCCCCCTCTGACTTAACGATGGCCACTCTAGTCTGATACTCGCCAAAGCTGAGTCCAGCTGTTTAACGGGCCCGCGTTGCTCAAAGTGATTCTCGTCCTCGTCTCTTGCTGGGGCTCCACGGTTTTTTAACATAGGGAGCCCAGGATTTTGGACTTACGGTTCTCAAACCAGCGCCTTGTCCCCTGAGCGTCTTTGTCGTCATACCTTGCTGTAAGCTGCAAAGGGCAACCAGCACACTATATTCTCTGTCTTCGCCTGCTTCCCCTAGACCAGCTCCTGAACCAGCGGCTCCACCTTGCAAACCATAAGCCCAGATTTTACCGATTCCGACCCCAAACACAGCCCTCCCACCTCCCAGCCTGCTGTCTGTGTGCCTTGCCACCTGACTGCCAAATGGACACCGTACAATATAGGTTTTTGTTACGGCAGTCCGCCTTTAAAGGGTTTTTGTTTTGGCCAGGTGGGGAGGGGGGCGCGGCGTGGTGGTTAAGTTTAAAGTGGGCTAATGTTTCCATAGGAAGTTCTCCTTCCTTGTTCGGCTGTGCAAAAAAAAAAAAACAACTAAGGACAATGATGGCAAGTTTTCTGGGGACAGGACAGCTAAAAGAAAGTTGTTTAGTGAACTTAAGGAGTTGACAGAACAAAGGAAAGAAATTTGGGGGAGAACCAGTGGGAACAGCATGCATTATAGAATCCTTGCATGGTCAGATTTTCCAACTACTTCCCTTAGAATTACAGAAATTTTGGGGCGCCCGGCTGGCTCGATTCGTAGAGCGTGCAACTCGATCTCGGGGTTTTGAGTTTGAGCCTCACATTGGGTGTAGAGACTATTTAAAAAATGAAATCTTAAAAAAAAAAAAAAAAGAACGTGGGGTGCCTGGGTGGCTCAGTCGTTATGCGTCTGCCTTCGGCTCAGGTCATGATCCCAGGGTCCTGGGATCGAGACCCGCATCGGGCTCCCAGCTCCGCGGGAAGCCTGCTTCTCCTCCCATTCCCCATGCTTGTGTTCCCTCTCTCGCTGTGTCTCTCTCTGTCAAATAAATAAATAAAATCTTTAAAAAAAAAAAAAGAACGCCAGGAATCTTAATAGAAATTTTCATATTCAAGCCGCAGAAATCAGGGGAATCCAGAGAACACTTTGAATGAAGGTTAATTGCTTTTCCCTGTCTCTAAAACATTGTCATCCCCAGGTTTTAGAACTCACTAATAACCTGCCACTTCCTATATGGTGATGTCCTCAGTCCTGGCCGCAGGACAGGAAAACATTGACTGACTTCTTTCCCTTCTGAGTCCTTTGGCTGGTCTGATAATTAAATTGACACAAAACAGATTAACAGGAGAGAAAAAAAAATTAGTATCTTACTTACAGGAGCCCATAGAAATAAGAGACTCCGAGAAGTGCCCGAAGCAGGCAGCTTTTATACCTTCCAGACAAACGATACATTTGTGAAGAATTGACAAGAGCAAGGGGTTTGGGCTTGGGGTAGCAAATTAGTGAAGAAGCAAGAAGGGCTGTTTCCACAGCCTTCAGGGCCCTGAATTCCCTCTGGTGATAAGGACGCCTCTCTTCTGGTTCAGGGAGGGTTACCTTGCACAAGGGAAATTTATTTCTGCCCTCAGGGTCAGAGTGTCCTCCTTGGATGCACTGGATGCATCTTAAGTCACTTTGTTTCAAAATAATCACTACCTACACCACAGAGGCGGATTTGGGGACGGCCTGCCATGAACCCTCCCCCTGCTGTTCCTGTGCAGAGGGCTTTGCCCCCAGGCTCTCCTGCATCCCTCCCCCCTCCCCCCGCCCGGCCCATCCGCTCTGTAGCACGAATCAGCGGACTACTATTCCATCGTATGGACACGCCACATTTTGTTTATCCACTCAGCTATTGATGGGCCTTCGGGTTGTTTCCACCTTCTGGGTGTTGTGAATAGAGCTGCTCTGAACCCCGCCTGGGATTTTCAATACCACAGGTAGCTCTGCTTCTGCGTGGCATGCACACCTGTGCTCTCTGCATTACGAGAGTCGAGAGTCGTGATTTGTCATTCTCCCAGGCAATCGGGGTTTTCCTCTGGGGAGAATGTGAGCCCCACCTGGGAGGTGGCGCTGGGAAGAGATGCAGTCTCATTTCACTGGATGACTGCTGGTGTCGTGAGTGTTTGTTTTTTAAGATTTTATTTATTTGAGAAAGAGAGCATGAGCAGGAGGGAGGGGCAGAGGCAGAAGCACACTCCCCATGGAGCAGGGAGCCCAATGCAATGCGGGGCTCGATCCCAGGACCCCGGGATCATGACCTGAGCCGAAGGCAGATGCTTAACCCACCGAGCCACCCCGGGGCCCCCTTGAGTGTCTTTTAATGCTCCCCCCTTAGTGCCAGGAGCTGTGCCAGGGGACGTCCATTTCTGTCCCCTGTAAGTGCTGAACTGCATATTCTCAAGGCCTTTCTGGGTACATATTACACAGTCTTTGCCCTGGTTTGCCTCTTACAAAGATGGGATAAAAGAAAGTGCAGTTGCGAGACTTTCTGGGTAATGGCTACCTTTGTATGAAACTATTCCCGTGGGATTCGAGCATTTGAAAGCTAAAGGCCTCCTGAACAGTCAGCTAGTGCTAGACCTTTGTTCCCGACATTTTACAAAGAGAAATAATGAGGCCCATGGAGGTTAGGTACCTCAATCTGGCAGGTGGCTCAGAGCAGGTACTCAAGCCTGGGCCTTTGGACTTGACTGCACTGGTGTTTCTCTCGCCCCCAAATTGCTTCCTCTGAGGGTTTTTCCTGCCCTACAGAGAGTCTTGCTAATAACATCAGCCCTCATTACTCGGCATTCAAAACCTTGTTATTTCTCCACGGCCAACTGTGCTGTGGTAACCCCCCGGCCAATTGCAAACGTTCTCTGATCTCATACATTTACTTTGACGGAGAATGAGCAAGTGTTCTTTATCCCTCACCATCTCGGCATTTGTCCTCTCGAAGTTTTTAAAGGAAGTTGCTTTTTCTTTTTCCCCCTCCAGCTTTATGGAGGTGTAGTTGATCTCTGGAACTTACTCGTCTTGTGTAACTGTAATTTAATAATCCATTTGACCGGTTTTGTTTAAACAGAAGTCTAAGCAGAAGCAACATCAAAGTTGAAAGAGGGTAGGGCCCTGGCTGGCTCAGTCGGAAAAGTGTGCGACTCTTGATCTCGGGGTGGTGAGTTCGAGCTCCACGTTGGGCATAGAGATGACTAAAAAATAAATAAACTTTTTTAAAACAGGTGAAAGAGGGTAATGGAAACCCATACACCCTGCACCAAGATTCAACATTTGCTGTATTTTATTTCCATCTCTACTTTCTCCCCCTGAACCATTTGAAAGTGCCTCAGACACCCTGAGACCTCCCCCTAAATTCTTCCGGCGGGTCTTTCCTAAGAATGAGAGCACTTTCCTCCACGACCACAGTGCCATGCGTACCTAAAAAAATTAACAGTCGTGATGCAAGAAATGCATCTTCATAGGCGCCTGGGTGGCTCCGTCGCTTAAGCACCTGACTCCTATTACGGCTCAGGTCATGATCGTGAGATCGAGTCCCTCGTTGGGCTCTGTGCTGAGCAGGGAGCCTGCTTAAGATTCTCTCTCTCCCTCTGCCCCTGCCCCTCTCCCTCTCTTAAAAAAAAAAAAAACAAACAAGCAAATACATCCTCAATATTAGGAGACTGGATGGTGAGGACCACTTGGGTTTTCTGCGGAAGCACCCTGGCTCGCAGCTTGAACCCATAGGTAGAGGTTCTTAAAGAGAAACAGTTAAAAATCACTCACCAAGAAGTGTGTTTGCCCCAGGTGAACCTGACAACAAAGTAACTGTAGGCTTAGGCTCCTCGACTAGGGGTATAAAACTCGGAAACCATTTTTTTTTTTAAAGCGTTCGCTCATTGAGCAGGGAGGTGTACCACCCCCAGAGGGATGGAGTGCTGACAGTGTCCGGTCAAGGCTCAGGGGGGACCGTGCAGAAGGAGCATGGTGTCTCTCTCTCCTTAGGGCCAGGGCACTGGGGACCGCAGGGGGCGGAATTCACTTATAAAGGCCCACACGCTACCTTGTGGCCTTCTTATTTAATTAGCTACAATTAAGACCCTACTTCCATGGACTGCTGTTGGCTAAGAACAATGATCTGGGCTGAGGTGTAAGAACACGACCCATCTAATGTCGGTCTGGGGGCTGTGCCCTATTTCTGGGGTGGGACAGTAGGGTTCTCAGCAATTCCATTTGCAGATGCAGAGAACCTAACAGCCCGTCGTCTTCTGAGTCGGCCCATCATGTGAATGAGTCAGTGAGGTACTGAGGCATTGACATTTTCATGTTCTTGCCTCTTAACCTCTCCTGGGCCTTATGTTTCTACCCCTCCTGGCCCTCTCGGGATGTACAGCCATTGGTAGGGCTCTGCCGAGGGCTCTTTCTGATAAGCAAGCCAGCCAGTTACGTCTTCCACGCCCCCGTGTCTTCAGATGCGTCTTTAACACAATTCCCTCCAGTTGTCCTCTTCCAGGCTTGGAGGTTTTTGTTTTTCTGAGCCCTGGGTAATAGAGATGGTCTTATACAAATGGAGGGCTTTCGGTTTTTAAAGACCTCAAAAGCATCCGTCTTGAGAGGTCCAGCCCAGGGTCTAGTGAGAACTGCAGATCCTATTGTATGCTGGGGCTCAGCCGAGTCCCCTGGTCTAAGCAGATCTCATTCCCGAAACCTCCAGCTTTGCTCACGCGCGCTAGAATCCAGCTGGGCCACTTGTCTGTCAGTGCTTGGCGTGGGTAACTGGGCACCGGGCCACCGTCCTCCTCCTCCTCCTCCTCCTCCTCCTCCTCGGCGAGTCTGTTCATCTGCCTTTAGGGCCTGGACCTCATGAGCTGGAAGACACAGTCAGCAGAGGTTTAGACCAAATGGGACTCTCCTCTCAAACCTGGAATGACCTGGCTCAGTGTGTGGGTGATTTAGACTCAACAACAGCCCGAGGCGTGCTGTCCTAGCTGTTTAGGCCATACCTGCCTCTGGGGAGCAGGGGCTCCATTCAGCCCAGTCTGGCTGGCATCTTTCATCCCGTTGTGCAGTGAAGCAGCCTTTCCTCCTGCTTGGGCAGGGAGGGGACACCTCCGTGGGGTGTCCAGCATGAGCTCCTGAGCTCAGCATTCACACTGACTCCTGTCCATGTCCGCAGTGGCTGGCACACTCGGCAGGCAAACGCTTCGAGACCATTGATCCAAGTCCCTTTACCTCCCCGTGACAGAGCACTCTTTGCACGGACGTCCCTCACTGTCACAGCTCACGCTCTTCCCAGCCTTGATCCTGCGCCAGGCCTGGGTGTACTTGGAATGACCCCAGTTTCACACACAAGGAAACTAAGGCTCAGAGAAGTTGAGTAACTTGTCCGAGACGGCGCAGCTCCTGAGTAACGGAGCTCACATCCCGACCCAGCTCTGCTGACTCCAGAACCCGAGGTGCTCCTTACAGCCCCTGCAGACCGAATGTTTGAGTCCCTCCCGTCAAGTTTACGTGTTACAACGTGAACCCCAGGGTGATGGTATTTGGAGGGGAGGCCTTTGGGAGGTGACTAGATGGGGGGATTAGTGGCCTGATAAAGGGGACCCCAGAGAGTTTTCTCACCCCTCCACCACGTAAAGACCCAGCAGGAAGACCTCATCCGTGAACCCAGAAGCAGCTCCCACACGACACCGAATCTGCCAGCGCCTTGACCTTGGGCTTCCAGCCTCCAGAACGTGAGAAATAAGTGTTTGCTGTGTAAGCCTCCCCCTAGACCCCCCAGTCTGTGGTATTTTGGTATAGCAGCCTGAATGGATTAAGATAACTCCCCCAGTAGAGTTTAACTCCTTATCCTCCCGGAAACAAATAGAATAAGGCAAACTTCTTGTATAAAAATGTCTATAGTTTTCCATGAAGTTTTGACAAAATTGCCACGAATACAGTTTGGCTGAGTTAGTTAAACTCCCAAGGGCAGACTCCGGGCATACTTTAGGACCTGTGCCAAAGCGTGACTGACTTTCGTGCACATCATCATTTTGCCTTTCCAGGGATTAGAAGCTGCCATCCGAAGGTGTTCAGAGGACCACCGGTTGATGTCCTGGTTTCTCAAGATGGCACTCCGTCCTGTACTTATATGGGTATGTTATTTATCAGGGGCTAAGATTTCCTCTATGTGGTGTTAGGACTTCCGCCTTTCTTTTCTCTTAGTTATCCACTGAGGTTGTTGGGGCATCATTTACCATGTAGTTTGGTTTCCCCCTCCTCTTGGGGCAGGGGCGGGCGGGGCGGGGGGCGGGGTTGGACATACTGCAGCGGAACAGAAGGGCCAGTTCCGGGTGTCAGATGCACGTGTGGAGCCGAAATCCCGAAGTAAGCCACGGAGTGGGGAGGCAGAGGTCTCCTAGCAGCGTTGTGCACATGGTAATAGGGACAAACAGCTGGTGAGGGGGGCCAGGCTATGTAGTTTCCTCTGCTCGTGATGGACTCTGCTAAATGTCCCTGTCCAGGCAAGGTGCATTCAGCATGAGTCACCCCCGTCAGGCAGCAGCCCAAAACAATCAGCATTACTAACCTTAAAATCTCACGGAGGCTTCTGGCACTCTGAGACCTGCCAGGAGAGGATCTGCTGGACAGGGAGCCCCCAGAGAGCCAGAAAGGGGCCAGCCGCCACGCAAGATGGCCCCGGTGTCCTGCCGGCTGGGCGCACACCCCAGGCTCTGCCGGCCCCTCCAGGGAACCTGTGTTCCCATTTGGGAAAGAGAGAAAGGGAAACTGGGAATTTTCCATGTTCCTGCCCTGGGTGACTCAGAAGAAAGCCAGATCTGTTCCCAGCTTGTTTTACTACTTCTGCCGTCTGTCTGCGGGAGCCGTACAGATCAAAGGCTGGGAGAGCTCTGTCTGCCCCCACTCTACCTTCTGACCAAAAGTTCTCCCCACGATCTGCTTCCCTCTCCCATCTTCAGGCTCCCCCAGCTGCTGGGGGCCCACCTGCTTGCCTGGATGTGCCGTCTCTCTGTCCTCGTTTTATTTTAGATGAAGATGCCACCACCCCTTGGTGGCCCGGTGACACATGGGGCTCAGGAGGCTCCGCTGGGAGGTTTTGGTCTTGCATCGCTGCCTCTGTGGAATGCACCACAGATGCACAAGAACGCAGCAGGCTGGGAAAAGTCACACGAGAGAGGCCAGGCCTTCGGATATGCCGTCTTGAGGATGGGTTTGCAGACCAAACTGGGACTCCGTCGGCTCCAGCAAGTGACTCAGAGACACAGGACACTGCTCCTCTCCTCCCGTCCCCTACGGACCAGGACTGGCTATTTCTCACCTAGGCCTAGAACCATCCAGGTGTTGGAAACGGCTTGCCATGTCCCCAACGGGGGTGTCCCAGGCATGCAGAAGCCATTCACTCGCTGAGTAAATCAGAGGGGTCTCGGGAGGAACATCGGTTGGTTTATGTGGTCTCCCACCCTGTGTTGGTGAAGAGCTACCTGGGGACTCAGACCCTCCTTCTCGGGTCGAGGAGGCCGAAATGACTCAGCCATGTGTCATCCAGCGCAAGGGGACCGTGTGTCCTGTGTACGTCCCTGCTGCCGCCACCCTGGTCTGGGCCTCCACCGCCTCCTGCCTTGCAAGTTCAACTGCCTCCGACCTGGTCTTTCTGAAATGTGTATCTCCTTGAGCTGCTCCCTTGCTTGATGGCTTCCCCGTTGCCCTCAGGATAAGGTCCACATTCCTGAGCCCAGGCTACTTACCTCCCTCCAGCACACAGACCCTGCAGTGGCCCTAAATTACAGGCTCCCTGACTTCCCTACAAGCCCCTGCCTCTGGGCCACTCATAGGCTGTTCCTCTGCCAGGAACACCCTACCCCCCACATCACCACCCTCAGTGCGGCTTCTGCCTCACAGTTTCACGTTCTCCCGCTGACTCCGCTCCACGTTACCCCACGCCCTCTGACTCTGCTGGGCAGGGCATTTCTACACTCCCCTAGCCTCCTATGCTTAACCCTGTTGGGGCACTTGCAGGGAATTTTCATCTCTTGCCTTTGGGCTCCAGAATGCTCCCGTTATATGTGCATTCCCTGCATCTAGTGTGGTGCTTGGCATTTGCTACACTGAGTGGGGAATGCCTTCATGATGTTTTGGAAGAAGCTGGCATCGGGTAGAAGACATAATTTTAGAAGGAAAAGGGACAAAGCTATCCATTCCGTGAGCTGCCCCCAAACTGCCGCAGACATCCAGACTCTAGTGATGGGGGGGTGTCTACTGTTCCCTCTCTTTGTGCGTGTTGTCTTCCCAGCCAGCATAGCGCCACTCTGAGGGCAGGCACGCCTCTGAATTTTATTTTATTTTATTATTTTCTTTTCTAAAGATTTTATTTGAGAGAGAGAGAGAGCATGCATGTGAGCATGCAGGGGGAGGAGCCGAGAGGGAGGGAGGGAATGAGAATCTGAAGCAGGCCCCACGCTGAGCACAGAGCCCGGCAGGGGGCTTGATCGCAGGACCCTGAGATCGAACCAAGAGTCAAGACGCTTAACCGACTGCGCCACCCAGGCGCCCCGCCTCTGAATTTTACATAATGAGGTTTACCACAATAAGGCACAGATTGACAAATGTTTTTCTGCAAAGGAAGGGCCAGACAGTAAATAAGGTAGGCTTCGCAGGCCTGTCCGTCTCTGTCGCAGCTCCTCAGCTCTGCTGTTGTAGGGTGGAAACCGCCAGAGACCACCGACACAAACGGGCATGGCTGTGTCCCAGTAAAACTTGATTTACCAACGCAGGGGTCAGCCACGCATTGCCCACACCTGGTCACGGGGGCCCGCTTCTAGTCCCTCCCGTTCCCAGGTTGTCTCCGTGTGCTTTGCACAATGCCCAGGATGTACCAGACACGCAGCAGACTGTTGGTGGTTGGTCAAAAGTACATCACATGAAACCATGGATCCAGTAGGACCCCAGGGACAGCTCACATATCGCTGCCCGTTCAATAGCCGATTTCTCCTTCATTCTTACAAACAGAACCCAAACTTTGTTCTGGCAGCAATGTACCTAGCTCCCCTACTTAGATGTGCACTAAGTACGAGCAGTTAAAGCCAAGTACGGGTAACCCAGTTTGTCAGCAGTTGGTCTGATAGAGGGTGTGCAACTCAGTCCAACACACTTCCAGTCTGCACAGGGAGTTTGATAAGATGCTGCTCCCTCATGAAAGAAGTGAAGCTTTCTTTTCTGCCTCCTCCATTCCTGATTTGAATACCATTTTGAGAGGATGTGATGTCCTGTGCTGCGGCAGCCATATTACAGCCATGAGGGGAGGGCCCAAAGAATTTACAGAAATGCCAGCCCGAGCCCCAACTTCTCTGGGCTTCTGCACCAACCCTGGAAATGCTCATCTCCAGCTTCTTGGTAAGAGAGGTCATATCTGTCTGTGATGTTTATACCAAGCAAGTGTTCTTCACTTGCAGCCTTCACAAATAATGCCCTATTTTTACTATATCAATAAATGCTCACTCCTATAAGGAAAAGGCAGCTTTATACATTTTCTCCTACTCTGGCTACCCAATCTTGAATCTTTCCCTGTTCACTCTCCAACCTAATGTGCAGAATCCCTGAGGAGAAGTTGTGTGGCGAAAACCCAGATACCAGGGAACCAGAGGCCGGACGAACCCCAGCTGGGGAGAGCCATCTGTCTCCTCCCATCAGTCTCAGAGAAGCCCGACTCACGTAATCCCTCTGAGTTTAGATCCAAGAACTGGCTGAACCAAGTATGGCAGGAGCCATGGGGGAGGTGATAGAATGTTCTCACACAAGAACAGTCAGGGAGGAAAACTCCAGTGCTCTCCTCTGAGTGAACTCGCGAGCAGGCCCAGGAACCCACCATATCCCCCTCCTCACCGGGCTGACAGCCACAGCACCAGAACAGGAGTCCTAATCTGACGGCCCACATTGCGAAAGTCACCAGGCCACCTTCCAAGGGACTCTGCCCTCTGATGACGAGCTGGTCGTTACTTCGCACCTGGCATCCCCTCCGCAGTCACCGGGCTCCTCACAGCCACCCTGTGCGGCGGGGCTGATTAGCCCCATCCTGCGGACGGGACGGGGGCTGGCGCTCTGGACCAGGCCACCCACCCTGCGCTGCCTCTCTGTTCACTCAGCATGCCACGTCTCTACAAGCCACAAGTGGGGAAACAGCCCAGACGGGGCAGCCTCGCTGTCTTCTGTCACTAGGCGCCTCCATTTCCCTCCCCTTCACGGAGAAAGCAGCCCCTGAGACCAGGTACTTTCTGCACGGCCACTTGGGGGAGTATGTAAGTATCACCCCCATAAGCCAGCCCTTGATTGTTCCTAGTAAATGGGGAAGGGACGGTAAGCACTGTTGTCAATCAGTATTTCTTGAGTTCCTACTATGTGCATAGCACTATGCTAGATGCACAAAGGACATAAAAGGCCCCCAGGATTTGGGGTCATGTTGGAACAGTATCATGCAATCCTCTCTACCAGACTCTGCAAGCCCGCCGTGACCCTCTCTGACCTTACCCTGTGGGGCAGCACTGCTCCGTTCTCATCCTAGAGCCAGGGGAATCAAGGCCCGAAGAACAGTGGTAACAAGGGAAGAGCAAGGCAAGCAGGTGACGACACTGTGTGGCCTCCCTGGGTGTATTGTGCGGATCTAACGTGCTGGGTCTCAAAGTCTAGTTCCCGGACCAGCCGCATCAGCATCACCTGGGTTAGAAATGCAGGGTTTTGGGCGCCGGACCCACTGAATCAGGAACTCTGGGGCTGGAGCCCAAGATCTGTATCTGAACAAGCCTCCCAAGGGGTTCTGATGCACACTCAAGTTTGGGAACCTCTAAGCAATGAGATACCTTATGCACAAACGGTTTGAGGGCTGCAAAGCTCTCTTTGTCAACAGGGTGTCTTGAAAGCCTTTTGTGAAAGGTTATTCAAGGACCTCTTTGTTGGTTTTTTTTTCCAATTAATATTCTATTTATTACAACTACAAATTCAAAACACAGTTCTTCCCTAAAACTTTGTGTTGAATTTATGACTCTCACTATTTTGCTTATAAAATTGACTATTTTACAATCACTTTTAAGGTGTTTTTTAAACTTTTTTTTTTTAAGATTTTATTTATTCATTTGAGACACAGAGATACAGAGAGAGAGAGAGCATGAGCAGGGGGAGAGGCAGAGGGAGAGGGAGAAGCAGGCTCCCCACTGAGCCAGGAGCACAATGCGGGGCTCGATCCCAGGACCCTAGGATCATGACCTGAGCCAAAGGCAGATGTTTAACCATCTGAGCCACCCAGGCGCCCCTTAAGGTGTTTTTCTTTTTTTCAAAAAACAACAAACATTTAATTGATTTCCCCTACTTTAAAAGCAGTAATGAATTTGATAGATTTCATTTCTTCTTAAGCACTTTTCAGAACCTTCCAAGTACTTCATGAATTCTTATGCATCCACTAAGTTGATCTCTGAAATACGGCAAATCTCGGTCCTCTTAAATAGTAGCATACTGCTTGCAAACTTAGTAAAAGCCTCTTATGATTTTCAAATTAAAAATCTGCCCAGTACAACAATGTGAATGTACTTAGCACCACTGAACCATGCACTTAGAAAATGGTTAAGATGGTCAATTTTATGTTAATATGTATTTTACCACATTTAGGAAAAAAAGTTCTGGCCATAATGCATTACTCAGTACATTTAAAAATGGGAATCACAAAGCTTTTCTGTTTGAGGATGCCAAATTCCCTTAAATGTTTCAAGCACTTAAAATACAAAATATACATAGGGGAGCCTGGCTGGCTCAGTTGGTAGAGCGCGCGACTCTTCATCTCAGGGTCGTGAGTTCAAGCCCCATGTTGGGCATGGAGCCTACTTAAAATATACGTAGATTACGTTCCAATATAATATAGTAGGAAAGCAAACACAAACAAACTAGGGCTTTGCTTTACTTCATCCTCTCTGTACTAAACAGTAACCCTTCTGGGGAGTAAAGACCCCACCAAGAAAAGTGCCATGCCATCCCCAGCAAGCTGGTGCTCCCCAGCAAGTGAAGGAGCCTGCAAAGTGCTCTTTGGCCAGGAAGAAGGAATTGATTTTTTCCAGGGACTGAAGCTGAGTCCTAATTGTAGTCACTCTGCTAACAGAAGATTCCAGGTCCCCTTCGCTCTCCACATGGGGTGGTGGTCTCAAAGCCTGGCTTCCCTGGGTCCAACTGCAGATACCCTAACTCACCCCCCATTCAAATCTCCAGCGCCCCTTTTCCTCAGAGCTGCTGAACTGTGTGGTCTGTACGGCTTCCTCCTGTACTGAATTCTTCCCACCTGCCAGGGGCACGACTCCTAGTGGGAACTTGCAAGGCACCCTGCGGATTCTGCACCCCGGGCTCCTCCTGACGCTTACTCCTGTAGATTTCCAGAGAAGGAAGAGGGTGCTATGAGTCAATGGCAGCAGAGGAGGATTTTCCAGAAAGGAGAATTGACAACCGGTCTTTGGAGAATGAGCCGCCCGGAGAAGGAAAGCTCGCCAGGTAAGGGGAATGCTTCTAGTCTGATAAGTAAAATTACCAGTTGGGCACACTGTTTCCCCGCGCCCACCTTGTGATGGAGGGGTAGCTGCTAGCAAGGGACTGGCAAGGCTAGGAAGGGGGTGAGCAGCCCCTTGCTCATTGAGCGGGCCAGACTGGAGGGGGCCGGAAAAGGGGCTGCACTCTGGGGGTCCTGTCACCGTGCCTTATGCCTGACTCCCTCCTGCAGCCGGCAAGGGGCACTGGCCTTGCTTTCCATTCCAAGTGGGGTGTCCCATCATAAATGTGGAAAACTCCTAGAGCAAGTCACCACATGGTGTTTCACCACGCGAAGTGAGCTAGGACGTAATGCCCCGGGGGAGTGGGTGGTGAGGGGGAGCAGCCTCGTTCTGATTCTCCTGGGCACCTGCTCCCGGGCGAGGACATCAGCAGGACCTCCGTGTCCACCGAGGGAAATACGCACACAAACGACCAACGCAGGTCGCCCAGGGTCTGTACCGAAGATGAAGTCCTGAAAGGTCTCTAGTAAGATGCGGAGGGATATGGGAACGTGCCAGCCTTAGAGCATCTTGGAGGTCAGTTGGTCTTGTGGGGGGCCTGCCCTATCCCGGAAGCTGGAGAGGGTGCCCCGCCCCCCACAAAGTCCTCGTGATCCTGAGCAGAGTGGATGTTACTATCATAAACCCATTCTATAGATGGAGAAGCTGAGGCTCAGTGAGGGGGTACTGAATTGCCCAAGGTCTCAACGGGAAAGAAACAGATAGGGAATCTACACCCCACTCCCCGCCCCAGCCACTAGACTTGGTTGTGTCTGATTCCCCCTCCTGCCCTAGGGGGCAGCAACACTTCACAACCCACTGTGTGCCTCAGACCCAGGTTCAAATGCGACTTCTGTTACTAACCGAGCAAGTGTGGGCAAGTCATGGAACCTGCAGGCAGGGGTCTCTGTTTCCTGTGTGGGAACGGGAGGAACAGTCCCTCCTTCCAGGAGCAACACAGACCCTCCGAGGGCTTCCCCTGTGCGGCTCTTAGCCCTCCGTGTGTTCCGGTTCTTGTCGCCTGCACACCAGCCCTGCCTCCTGGTTTCACAGATGCAGACTCGGAGGCAACGGGAAGCGAAGTGACTTTCCCAGGTCACATGACCCGTGTGAGCGGCGAAGTCGGGCTTGGAACCCAGGTCATCGGGCTGACCGCAACTGCCTCCGACTGGCTCAGCGCTTCCCTAGCGCCCCGCCGGACACACAGCGCCCCCCCTCGGTTAGCCCTTAGTACTGACGGGGTAGCTCCAGGGCTGCGCAGACGTGGGAGCGAGCCTTCCCGATACGCGCACGATATTTACAAGGTTCGCCGCGTGGGGGTGGGGGAGCCGGTGCCCCCCCACGCAGGCTCTCCGAACATCTTGCACAAAAGAAGTAAGTACTTAACCCGTGGTGGCCCGGCACACTACAAGTTTCTAAGTTATTTAGAAGAAGGCAGCTGAAGTCTAGAGACTTCTAACGGGCGGAGGTGTGTTCTCCAGACTAAGAATAGCTGACAGGAGAAGCTTTCTGGTGACATCAGAGCACAGCAGCAGCTTGGGGGTGGGGGCTGTGGTTTTCTCCAGCTTAGCGACAACTGCCCCGTGCAGGCTCACCCGCTTCTCCAGAGGAGGCTGGACGAAGGGGTTGGAAAGGGGCCTGGTGACCCTGGAGGTAAGCAGGGTTTCCATCGGCCTGGGGGTTTGTAATGTGTCCCTCTCGCCCCTCCCTCACCATCCTGCTGTTTGTGGGAAGCTGGCCCTCTGGCCGGACCAGCAGGATGGGGGCAAAGAGCAGGGGGCAGCAAGGGAGGGCACAGGGCAGGTCCCCGGCCGGTCCTGGGATTTGGACCACAGGCTCCTCTCTCCTGCTCACCCCTGCCTCTCTGTCCTTCCAGGGGGCTTCTAACACGAGCGGACCCCCAGGCCCCCACCCCTGCCCACTGCACCAGACCCTTCTTCTCAATGCACACCCGAGCTTGGAATTTACTCTGAGCCCCAGCAGGGTGACCACTGCCTTTTTCTGAAGTCAAAATAAATTCTGGGGATAGAGTACAAAGATTAAGCCGACCCAAGGTGAAATTGTGGTTCCCCCTCCAGCAGCTCTGAGCTTTTACTGGAGGTATTGGAGGGCTTGGGGGAGTTGGGGGCAAGGAAGGAGAAGGGAACAGTTTAAACAAAACTTTAGACACTTTCAAATTATGCCTGGCCATTTGCAAGTTCTCACGCAGGGCCCCCACCCCCACCCCCCGTGTTCCCGGTTTGTGCTGATACATGATACATACTTACTGCACAGGGTTGTGTGTGGGAAGCTGTCGCTACCACACTTTATGGTCCTTAGGGGATTTTCAAGGGTGATTGTGGCTGCACGTGACTCTGACCTTGCACCCTGGCTCCGTGCAAATTAGCCCCCAAGCCTCAATTTCCCCTTCGCCACTGTGGTTCTGCTTTCTGACATCCAGTAGGAGTCTGACAAGTCATCTTTTTAAAACTCATCACATCTGACTTTCAGAGAGCCCACAGTGTTCACCCACACACTTTGTCTTCAAGGAAGGACAAAGGGAGATTTTCTTTTTTCTTTCCTTTCCTCCTCCTCCTCTTCCCCTTCTTCCTCCTTCTCCTCCTTCTTCCTCTTCTCCTCCTCCTCCTCTTCCTTCTTCTCCTTCTCCTCCCTTCCCCCCTTTTTCTTCTCTTTCTTTTTTTAACGAAGAAAACACTAAATAAAGCCAGAGAAGAGAAGCTACTTGCCGAAGGTCACATTGACCTTCTCCCCAGATTCCTAGCGCTCCCTTTACCAGGACTGTCCCTACAGTACAAACCCCACATGCCCCCCCAGTGGAAAGATGGGAGGCCACCTGTGAGCCGTCCTGGGTGCGCTGGTCACACAGCCCTCACAGTTGATGTGCCACTCGAGTCTCTGGGATACGGGGTTAATGAGCCACATCTCAGCCCAGCTGCCAAGCAGCTGGTCCAAAGTCATACTACCAGAACTCGCCAAGAAAATACTAGCACATGCGCACCCATGCACCCGTGGTACCCACTGGCAGAGGAATCCCACCACTGCGTTGACGTAATTTGTGATTCTCCACCCTGGTGGCACCTTATCAAAAACAACACCAAGGCTCCCATCCCCGGAGTTTCTGGTTCCGAGCACCTGGGATGGAGCCTGCCCATGTTTGCTTTCAGAGCTCCCCAGGTGAGTAACTTGCAGCTAGGGTGCAGACATCGCTTCTCAAACCCACCTGTATATTGGAATCATCTGCGGGGTTAAAATACTGCCCACCCCCACCCGGCCTGATTTAATTGGGGTCTGGGGTGTGGTCTGGGCATTAGGATCTTTAAATGCTCCCCCAGGTGATTCAAATGTGCGGCCAAATTTGAGAATGTTGCTCTGGTTCATTCTGCACCTGGACTCTGGGCCCCACCCCTGCCCCCAAAAGACAGGGCCGCCCTGCCCTTCCCAAGTCCTCCCCAAAGAGATTTTTAGTCCCATGTTGCTGCTTATATATAGATAAGCGTCTCCAGAAAATTCTGTTCTTGACTTCTGAATGTCAAGAAACCAAAGTAATAGGTCCTTTGGCTGTACCTTCCTGAATAGGAGATAAATGCTCAGCATGAGTGGCATGAAAGCATGCCCCATTCTGCCATGCTTTGTGGACAGAGAGGGAAGGGAGCTTTGCTGTAATCCAACCCCCAGGCCTCACTATTCATCTCTGGGGGGGGGGGGGTGGGTCCTGGTTCCTCGACCTCCAAGTGCACCCCCATAGGATCTGAGCCCACCAAGTCCCCCTGCATGTTTCAGGGCAGTCCCAGGGCTGTCTCCTTTGTGTTTTCAAATTCTGCCCTGGCCTGACTGCGGTCCCCTGGGAAGGATGCCTCCCAACATGCACACGCCTGTTGCTGTGGACCTGCAAGCCCACAGGGGCCCCGCAGGGCTGAGTTCATTCCTGTCTGCACCCGCCTCCCTCTCCCCAGAAACCCATGGGCCCTCTCTTCACCCTGTGACATTTGGTGTCTGGGCTTGGGGCCCAGATTTCACAAAATCCAGGAGGTATGGCCTCTGTGGCCCTGCCAATCCTCCCTCCATCCCTCCATGGAACTTAGACCTGCCCCAGGAGATGGGCACCAAAGTGTCCTCCTTACCACCAGCTGAGCACAGCTTCCCTCTGTAGAGTCTCCCCGATGCACACATGTCAGCTGGTACAGGGAGACTGCCCTCCACCCAGTCTCCACCAAGATGCAGCCAGGACCAGCAACTAATTGGCCCTGAGCTAGCCCAATGACCTGCCCATCGCTGAGCACTCTCCGTGTACCAGCATGGTTTGAACCCTTCGCATGAAGTCTCACGGACCCATTTCACAGATTGGGACCAAGGATTCCAGGGGCAAGTCGTCGCCTAAGGCCAAAGACAGGATTTGAACCCACATCTCTAACCCCACCCCCAACCCCTGCAGCAGAGGCTCCCAAATTTGTGAGTACATAAAAATCAGCCAGTAGGTCCCAGGAGCCTGCGTCTCTATTCAAGAATACAGGAGACCCTGACATAAATGGCCCAAGACCAGCCCTCCCCCGACCCTATTCTAAGTCTCAGGGCCTCTTCTAGGCCCAGCCAGGGTCATCCTTGCGGCGTGACCTTGACCTCTCTGAGCTTCCTCCCTGGTGAAAATGAGAGAGTGGAGCTAGCCAGTTGGAGGGAGCTCTTCAGTTCTGCCTTGAGCCTTCCAACTTGGCTCCCTTCCAAGGTGATGTAGGGAGGGCGAGGGGGCTTGCTTTCAGGGTTTCTCCCAGCAGCCCCGTCTGCCAGGTCAAAACTCTGAACCCTGCCCAGGATTTGCACCTGCCTCCACACACAGTCAGGGATTGGGAAGCCCCCAGAGCACCTGTCTCCCCACCCACCCTCGCCCTGGAGTCTCTGGCACAGGGGGAAGGCCCCCCCACTCCCGCCCCCGGCATAAAGGGCCTCCCGCCTTCCCATCACACGCTTATCCTTTTTGTTCATGAAGCGGGAGAGCTGGATCTGGTTCCTATCTCTGCTCTCCACAGCCGGCCCCAGGAGAGGTTTAAGAGACAGCCCAGAGTGGACATCTGGGAAGGGCGCCCAGTCAACAGGAGCAGGCCCTGAGCTCTGCTGAGTCAGCGTGGCAGCCGTGAGGCCCTGGGGCCACCTCCTACCCGAGCCTCCCAGCCTCCCTGTGCCCTCTGCCGCCTGCTGCCCAAATGGGAGGTATGTGCCGCGTCCTCTCCCGAGTAAGCCCCAAATTATTGACTGCGCCAACTCAGAACCCCAACGTGTATTTATCATCCTGCCTTCCAGGCACTCAGCTGGGGTCTTGCTTGAACATGCAGCTGTCCCAGAGGGAAGGGAGGGAGGGAAGGGGGGAGGAGACGGCTGTATCTTCTCCCCACCCCCACCCCCTGGCTGGGGAAGCAGGTGGCAGGGTCCTTTCCTGGCCAGTGGTCCTGCCCTCCCGGCCAGCTCGTGGTCCCCCAGGTGGCTGGCTCCACATCCAGTCCCTGCCTTGTCACCTCCCAACACACCGGAGGTGGGGACCTGCCTGAAGGCCAGGCAGCCAAGGGGACAGTTAGCAAAAGCAGAGAATGTGCCAGAAGCTAATTTTCCTCACGGTCTGGTGGTACAGGACTTCTTCATGTGTGGTCCTCAGATGATCTGCCTCAGAAACAACTGGAGCCCTTGTTAAAATGCAGATTCCCAGGCCAGGCCCTTTCCACAAGGAATCCTGAGGCACACAACCGTGTTAAGAACCAGCCATGTGGCGGCCAATAGCTTGGACTCTCCGAGCCCGTAGTTCCTTGTGCGTCTAATGGGAAAGGAGAGGAATGCAGAATGCACATCCCACAGTGTTGTCCGAGGATTCAGTGAGGTAATAATATAGAGAAAGTGCTTAGCACTCGGTAAAGGGTATCCCGGGGTCATTACTCAGCAGCAGAGGGAAATTACAGCAGACTGATTCAGCAGATGGAAGAAATAGATGTTCCATTTTTTTTTTTTTTAAAGATTTTATTTATTTGACAGAGACACAGCGAGAGAGGGAACACAAGCAGGGGGAGTGGGAGAGGGAGAAGCAGGCCT